TTCATATTCTTTCTCTCCATAAAACATGATCTATTTTGTTATACTCTTTTAGTTCAACAAAATAAATTATATTTTGAGATAAGAGAAGTAATTGTTTGACCTGAAAATGTAAAGTAAGTATAGAATCCACCATATGATGTCGCATGCATGCTGTAATTAGAATAATGTAACGAGAACACTAGTTACAACACACAATTGAAGTATTTCTATATGTTTTTTTGTTGAAAACCATCTAATGTTAGTATCATAAGCTTAAGTCTTCCTAAAACAAGACACTTGCACAAAGAATCGTACAAAAGTAGCTTAGGAGTTTCGTTTTGTCCAAACCGAACTACAATTGGTATTTTTTTTTCAAGTACAACCTATGGAATGCTCATTTTGTGATGGAGAGATATGTATTCTTTTGATTCCAAAATGATTGTTCAATTCAAATTTTTATTTTTAATAAGTATTGTACTAAAATTTCAACTCCAAATTGGTTAATCATTTTGAGATAACAGGAATATATATATAATATTATTTCATCAATTCAGTGAGAAATTCGTTCAAATCTAAAAGTTTCACATTCGTTCTCCGAGCTAGGGTTCAGGAAAAAATATTCAAATATCATGACACTAGCCCTGGAGAGGGGACATGGAAAACCAATGTTGCATAGCTCAGCATGCCCCTTGATCTTTTCAGGTTGATGTCATGCTGAATATTCAGGTTCAATTAAATTTGAGGATTCCCTATCTAGGATAGCAAAAATGGAATATGGTAAATCTTGTCATTGTTCCTACCCTAGCAATAATGACACGACCAATATTCACCAAAATCAGGAAAGCACTGTAAAAGAGCTTTTAGTCCGAGAGGTTGAAAAGAGAGACACTTGAATAATAATAAATCATTACAAGAGGTAGAATAGCTGTGGCCAATTTTGGCTTCCATTAAAATGATCAACCGCATGACACATGCGATGGTTACTGTTGAAAGAATTTCGATGAACAGCGCTTGGATTTGAGCATTGATGCTTGCAAATTATTTTCACAAAAGGTTCTGTTTGCCAGAGTCTACAGAGCTCTCTGTTTTTAAATTCATTGCATCTTTTTGATTTTCTATAGTACAATATGATTAGAAATAGTCCCATCATGCATAAAAGCTTTATTAGAGGAAAGTATATAGGAGGTTAATTTATTTGTCGTTGAAATTTAGTTTTTCATACATGTTTAGGGTTTTAGTTTAGTAAAAAAAAATAAAAATTTGTTAAGCGTGATCATGGGTAAGATAATGTTTGGTTTGCTGCATTTTTATTGGAGTAATTTTCTCTTAGGCGTGATCATGCCTAAGAGAAGAAAGGATTCTGAAATTTTGCTTTAATTTTTGACAGTGACCAGCGAATCTCCATCCTTACTAGACGTGATCACGTCTAACACGCTGGAGTCTTTTCTTAAAAAAAAAAAAACCAAATTTTCTTTTAAGTTTTATTTTCTCTCTGTTCTTTTCCAGGAACCCTAAATTCCAAAATTGCAATCGGGCGAACCAAACTTCAATTGGATCATTGGCTAGCTTCTGCTGCTATTATCATCGTTCGTCAATTGTTGTTTCGCACCCTGCATCACCAACATTTTTCAGGGAAGTGTTGTTCTTCATTTTTATATCTTTTGCTACATTGTGGACAATGTATGTTCTAAGTGTGGGGGGGATTTTAGTGTTTCTTTTCTAATTTATATTTGTTTGTTTCATTGTTTTTATTTTATAAAAAAAAGAAGAAAAAAATTAAAAAATGAAAAAAAATCAAGAAAATGGAAAAATCCAAAAATAGCCGATGATGAACTTAACTTGAGACTCTAAGAAATCTAATTACATTGGGACAAAAATTTCTTTTGAGTCTGTGCATTATATGTTATACCCTGAATACTTTACTTGCACACTTTAGCCATAACTCTGGGATAAACTTAACATGTATGTGTAGTTGCTTAAATTCTTGCGATATGCCAAAGTTTGATTTGATTCATGCAGTATTTGTACCATGTGCATGTGGGACCTTGCTATATTATGAAACTAAAAAATAAGGCATTAACCCTATCATCACTTCAAACTCGAATTATGGGGGAGTGGTGGTTTGAAAATAGCCTTTTTACCTTCTTGCTTAAAGTACTTTGTACTAAGTAAGTGTGGGGGAGGGGTTCTTGGCGGATGCTTTTCTGAGGTTAGATACACTTTAAAGAGGGAGAAAATGAAGAGAATTCAATGTTGATGCTATCCCATTGATAGGTGAGAAGTCTGGCAAACAACTAGCAGAGTGTCCTCAGGCCCGTCGGTGAGAAAATATGAGTAAGTAGACTGCCCTAAGTTGCTGAGCCACTATGTAAATCACTACATAAATCAAGTGAAAAAATGCTCTGGGTAGGGGCCTGAGTGGGAAAGATCCTGAAGAAAAGCCATATGGACACTGAAGAATGGGTACGAGAGAAGTGCGTTGAATTGTATAATGTGAGGTATAACTGTAAGCCTTCGGTTTCATAACATGTATAGGAGTAACATTGCATTGAAGTATGGTCTGAATTGGGGATCCTAAGTTCACTCTTCAGTGGCATATTTGCATTTGAATTTTTATATTTTATGCTATGTGTAACAGTGATGTCCCTAGGGAGTGGTTTACACACACACACAAAGGGGCTGAAGGGTAAAAGTACATAATGTATTTGACTTGGTTGTGAATTTTTGTTTCATTATTACCATGATTTCTTATGAGTGCTAGAGTTGCTGAAGTGCATCTTAAATAAGAGAAAGTTTAGAATTCATGTGTTCTTTAATGCTTGAGGACAAGCATACTTCAAGTGTGGGGAAATTTGATAGGGTCCATAAATTGTGTTTTAATTATTGATATTTTATTAATTTATGGACTCGGATGGATTTAATTCATTGGTTTTGTTATTATTTCATGTTAGGAGCTGGAAATAAGAGATTGGAACTGTTTTGCGCAAATCTGGACGTCCAGAGACCTTTTTGCAAAATTGAAGAAGTTTTAGAGCAAAAATGAAGAAGCTGCAAAGTTGAGGGACCAAAGCTGGAATTCATCCACCTTTTGCTGTTTTCCGGTGGCTGACCTAATTTTATTATAAAAAGGATTATTAGTTTTGTAAGAGAGCAGCCGTGTGTAGCCATAGGCTAGCACCTCCTATCTTTTTGTTTACCGAATTTTGTTGTTTTTCCATAGAGAATCAAGCCATCATGCTTCCAACTATGAGTGGCTAAGTTTTCTCTCTGATTCAAGGGATTTATTCAGTTATTCCATTATGAGGTTTTGTTCTTAATTTATTGTCCTTGCCTATGATTTAAGTATTTGTTGATTCTTATATTGAGTTATGAAAGTAGATATCATTCAAATTGACAACTTGATTTGTTATTTATTTTCTAGTACTATCTGCTAGTTGAATGTTACGTAATAGACAAGAACCGGCAGTACTGAGTAGCAATTAGACAAAGCATGTGTGTTGGTGAGACATTGAATATGCATGTTAGTTTAAATGTGGAATCAATGAGGCAAAGTCTGAATAGTTACAGCTATCTCAATTGTTTAGATTTTGGTTCAACTATATTTCCTTGGTATTTATGTTGTCATTGTTTGGTATGGAATGCTATCGTGCCCAGCCGAATTATGATAAGGACTAATTGAGTGCTAGGCTTGGTTAGTTAATTTAGGGAGATTAATTGATTTATTACGGCTATCCTAATAGATCTTTGTTTGAATGCTTAAATTGCAAGAGTAGTTTTAGTAGCCTGTGATTAATGAAATAATTGAGTTATCCGTCCCTTGAGTCAGAAGTCTGTTACTTGGATTTCTTATTTTTTTATTTAGTGTTTGTTATTTGTATTTCATTATCTTAATTTAGAAAAACAATCCAAAAATCTCCTTGCATTAATTTGAAGGAAACAATCCATCGTTCCCTGAGGAGACGACCTTACTTCCCTATATTACTGTAGTTTGAAGTAGGTTAATTTATTTGTGTGGCTTGACACCCCACTAAGGGAACCCCCTAATGTACTATTTTTTAACTCTTACCTAGGAAGGAGTTGTTTGGAGGCTAACAAGAGTAAAGTACGGTGCTTTCGCACCTTAAGCCATCAAAGAAGAATGAGTGCCTTTCTCCACAACTTCATCTTTGTCCATAACAGCAATTGTGTCACAGTTCTGAATCGTACTTAGCCGATGTGCCACAACCAAACTTGTCCTTCCTACCATCACTCTCTCAAGTGCCTCCAATACTGCCTTCTCCGAATGACTATCCAGCGCACTCGTTGGTTCATCTAACAGCAATATTGTTGGGTTTCTTAGCGTAGCGCGAGCTATGGCAATTCGCTGTTTTTGACAGCCTGATAATTGGGAACCATTATCCCCGCACCATGTATCGTATCCATCTTTCAACCCTGTAATGAAATCGTGAGCATTGGCTGCCTTTGCTGCCATAATGATTTCTGACTCGTCGACGTCTGATGATACACCATATTGTATATTCTGGCGTATGGTACCGGCAAACAGAACGGGTTCCTGGCTTACAAGCGCAATGTGTTGTCTTAATGTTCTCAAATGATAAGATTTCACATCCCGATTGTCAATCAACACAATCCCCTTTAGTGGATCATAGAATCTTTCGATCAAAGAGATTATAGTTGATTTCCCTGACCCGCTTCTCCCAACCAATGCGGTTGATTTCCCTGGCTCAAATTTGAATGAAAATCCTTTGAAGATCATGACACTAGGCCTTGTGGGATATGCAAAATGGATGTCAAGTAACACGATCTGCCCCCTGATCTTCTTGGGTTTATGCACTGTTGAATCCTCAGGTTCAATTAAGGAATTCGTATCCAGGATAGCAAATACTGAACCAATGGTGTCATACCCTTTGGTTAGATCTTTTGTCATTGTTCCTGCATTGGCAATGACACGACCAGTACCCACCAAAATCATGAAGGATTGTAAGAAACCTTTGGTTCCAAGAGAGCCATCCACAACGAGCTTACCACCCGTACCAATAATCAAGAGCCCAACATAATTTCAAGAGAGTTGCAGATGTGCCGAGCGCGACGCCAGCAAACCAGGCTTGTCGAATACTTTCTTTTCGAGGGCTTTCTTGGGCTTTCTCCAGTATTTGAAGAATTAGCGCTTGAGCATTGAAGGAGGAAACTGTCCGAATATTTGTCACTGCTTCAGCTGCAATCTTGCTACTTTCTTCTTGGAATTTGATGGCTTTCTTCGACAGGGTTTTGAGTAGGCCATGCCTTAAGTAGAAGGAAATAATGACCAGAGGTTGAACAACTATCATCACCCAAGCTAGCCTCCATGAAATGAAGAACCCTATCAAACAGGCAATGGTCACAGTCGAAAAAGTTCCGATGAGAAGTGCCATTCGATCTATCACTAATGACCTCACCTGCAGAATGCCGACCAAAAAAAAAATGTAAATGCTTTAAGCAGAGTTTATATGTCTCATCAAAATGTTAGTCCTGTTTTATTTGTAATTAGTTAAATTTTAGAATCAGGCCACACTATTATGTTATGTTGGAGGGAGTCAGAATCAAGAAATTTCTGCGTGAAAAGGGAAAATGGAAGAGCTTACCGTATTTGCATCTTTCCCCAATCTGGAGCAAATGGTCCCCGTTGCGTTTTCATCTCGATCGTACCATCCGATTTCAAAAGTGAGGATCTTTGAGAGCATAATTTCTCTGATCCTATTTGTCAACCTCTCTCCCATAGATGCAAAGTTATAATGCCGGCATATGTTGACAAGGATTGCAAACAGTATCAATGCCACCAAAGTGATACAATATATTTTTGTCATTTTCTTGATCTCTTCATGATCGTGTAGGAAATACACTGATGCCATTGCTCCCCTTGAAAAAGAAAACATTGGTGGGATTGAGCCAACTAGTATTGCACTTATAACGCCCGCGAAAGCCTGTTTCCATTCTGGCGAGCTCATGGCAAGTAATCTTCTAACTGAGGGAACTTGATCCTCTGAAACCGAATCATGTTTAGCCTGATTCATTGTGGCATCAGCGCTAGCGGAACCAGACCTACTATAACTGGATGCTGAAGCTAATGCCGCACTGGAACTAATCTTGGTATTACTTTGGGCGAATTGGTTGTATGGTTTGGTACTTTGCAGGCGAAAAAAGGATGTGTTTAACCATCAATATCTTCAATTAGCTCGTCATGTGAGCCGACCTCCACAACCTGGCCATCTTGGACCACGGCAATGAAATCTGCCTTACGGATGGTTGACAGACGGTGAGCTATGATCACACTGGTGCATCCATTGGCCACCTGATCTATAGTTTCTTGAAAAACTCTCTCTGACTCGGAATCTAGTGCACTTGTTGCCTCATCAAGAAGAAGAATTTTGGGAGATCTAATTATGGCTCTTGCAATTGCGATTCTCTGCTTCTGCCCTCCCGACATCTGAATCCCTCTCTCGCCCACCTGAATTACTTAACATGGTTATGCCTGATTGAGAATATATACAGTCGAACAACAACGAATTTTAGCCTATGAAATTGAAGAACATAATGCCAACATTCCCAAAGAATTTTTTAGCCAAAACATAGTAGGTATTCTTTATGAAATAATCTGTAGTAATCTGATCTTGTGAGCATTTTGACTAGCATGGTGGAAATCAACTATCTCAATACCGCAGAAGGACAAGTAAAAGACAAACCTGAGTATCATAACCATGAGGCAATTGGGAAATAAAGTCGCGAGCATTGGAAGCTTTTGCAGCCTCAATAACCTCCTCAGGAGATGCATTCTCCTTGCCAAATAGTATATTGTCTTTAATCGTCGTTGCGAAGAGTGCCGGCTCTTGACTCACTACCCCTATGTGACCTTAACCACTTGAGTTGTAACTTGTCAATGGCCACCCCGTCAAGTAGTATTTCACCGCGAATTGGGTCATAAAACCTTTGGAGCAAAGCAATAGCTGTTGATTTTCCACAACCACTTCCTCCCACAAGTGCAGTCTTACTTCCAGCTGAGATTTGAAGGCTAAAATCCTTCAACACGAAGCTCTCAGGTCATTATGGGTACGCAAATTGTAACTGCTTAAAATTGACGTCTCCCTTAACATCCTGTAATATATCCCCTTACATGCTGTCTGAATCAATTTTGGGAACTCTTTCTATAATTTCCATGATGCGTTCAGCTGCTGCACCGGCTTCCGAATAGGAATCCAAGTTAGATATACAACTACCCAATGGTCAGTTCAAATGCGAATACAAAAGAATTAGTTTCACTCTGTCTTTGGCTGCAATTTAAACCGCCCAAACACGTGCGCGCACACACACGCACACACAAAAGAATTGGCAAATAGGAAAGCTTACAATCCTCCAAAAACTAGGACAGTAGTAACTGCGAAAACGGTTCCTCCTTTAGCACCATGGTACATGACTAATCTGCTTCCATAATATGACATGAAAGCCCAAACTGCAAACACTATGGCATTACTGCCAACAGCTAAGCCTTTTACTGAACCTTGTCGCCATCCCAATTTACTTGTCATCTGAAAAGAAATGGCGTACTATGCTGCAGTTTTGGTCTCTCCAACAAAGGAATAAACTGTTCGGGTGGAAGAGATTGCTTGCTCCACGATCGTATCCGCCTTATTATATTCTTCCCTCAACTTCCTGGAAATGCTCATTAGAATTCTCCCATACACCACACCCGGAATTACCAGAAATACTATGAATGGAAAACCAACAATGGCTAGTCTCCAGAGCATAAAAAAAGCAGCAACATAAGCCCCTATAGAAGTCGATAGATTCGACACGAACCTTGGTACCTGTTTTTATAAAACTCATAATCACAATTTGAACTTTTACTATGGACCAAACGTTTTCATTAGCAAGGAGAAAATTAACGAAAGTTGATTAAAAAAAAACTCAAACCTTTTCACTGATAAAATCCAGAATGACAAGACTATCATTGGAAATATTGGCAACGACTTCGGCTGTATCTGTAACACGCAAGTCGAAGTAGGCAATTTCTTGTCTGAGCACTGCCTTCAAATATGCCGTTCTCATGCTAGACACTTGCCTCTCTGCTGTTCTTGCCCAGCAATAACCCTCTGGAATATGTATTATAATTCGTTTCATGATCGAGTTTAAAGAAGCAATGGATAGAAAAACAAAGTGATGCATCATCAACAAAAAAAACTTACCAAGAAAGCAAGCAATCCACTGCCCAAATGCTATGTAACAGAAAACCAGCGAATTCTGCAGTTATTAATCATCCAAAGTAAGAAAGAAGATTTATGAGACTTGCTTTATTAGTCAAAGTCCTATGAATAACTGATGGCATTATGTTACCTTGATAATGTTATTCATGGAATTATGTTGTTGTTGATCAGATGGTAAAGATTCTGATGTTCCAATGATGTTCACGGGTCTACCCATAGTGAAGACTGATACCTGGATTGACAGGCCGTCACAAACAGCTCCTAAGAAGCCGACAAGCATCAACAGTTTGTCAACCCAGTCAGCGTGCCGGAAAATTGACCGGAGTGATCCCATCAGCTGCTTCTTTTTCGTCTTCTTTTCCTCCATTGGTTATTTGTTCTTCTTCCTGAACTGTACCTCACAAGTATAAATAAATACTGTATGAGAGAATCTCTTCAGCGTACCCGTTTTTATTACAAGTTGCTCCAGTGCTGAATCCTAAGTATTCATTCATTCTTCATTTTTCTAAAGGGGAATCCATTCCCCCAATACCATGTGGTTTAGGAAACCTACACGACTTACGACAAAACATCCCGTAATGGACAGTAGTATTAACAGAGATTGCATTGTCGGAAAGTCCAAACTTGCCTTCCAGTTCATTGATGACAAACTTTTGACTCTGTTTCATGTTCGACCTGTGGTTCCAGTTCCCTCCAAGTTTTTGCATTTTTTGTTCCCTCTAACTGGTCTCTCATTTTTATTTTTATTTTTTTAATTATTTTATCTTTTAATATAGAAATAATTTTAAAAAAGCTTGTTGTGTACTAGTATTACTTAATCTCCCTCCGTCTGAATTCGTGTTTGTTAGTACCTGTTTTCTGCCAGTGATTGGAAAGCGGGTCTCTGTTGGAAATACAACGTTTTTGTTTCTTTTGTCTCTTTTGGTTGGTCCCTTAGAATCTCCAATCATGAGTTTAATTCAACTTAGTAAATTGCCAATTGTTACAACGGAACAAAATTGTAAATTGACTTTAAAAATTATTCACTTTATTTGTTTATTCAGTCATGAAAGAGGCTTGTGAGATCCAAGCTGCAGAAATGCAGCAGACCTAACCAAAAAAAGCATTTGATGTGTTAAATAATCCAAAACTTCATAGGTAGAATATTACTGTACCATTTACATGGCTGTGAAAAATTGAGGGGGGAATAATAGAAGGGGGGGTTGTGGGGTGTGCGGAGAGAAGAAAAAGCTAAACGGCAACTTGAAGAATAATGATGGGAACTTTAACCAGATTACAAGGACAGAAATTCCAGTATACATTTTAAAACTTAAGATACATTTTTGCGCAGGGAGGAAAAGGCCTAAGATAACAAACAATTTTGAAGACCATCACCATCATATGCTTGCTTTAGGAAGTGATTTGATTCTCAAATTTTCACACATATCACAATTCACAAACCTAGTTCCTAATTACCAACCTATTATTTGTTGATGAACAAGAGGCAAGAAGAAACAAAAATGGACGTATCAACAAAAGACAAACATTACTCGTTCATTTACTCATGTGGCTGTACTCCAGCCTTCTTATTCGGCTGCAGCATCATCATCGTTGCTTACTTCAGTTTGTATTTCCGGCAAAGTTTCTAGGTCTGTTCGGACTTCTTTCTCCTGCAAGCCGATCGAAGAATCAGAAGTATCAATAAGATCATGCTGAACTTCTTCAATATTCTCTGATTCACCGTCATTTTCTCCATCGGTTCCATCATTGGAACTGTCATCTAACTTCGTACCTTCATCCGAATTATCATTACTTTCCACATCTGCTCTGTCATTCGAACTGTCATCTGACTTTGTGCGCTCAGCCGACTCATCATTACTTTCTCCATCCGTTCCTTCATTTGAACTGTCCTCAAACTTTGTGCCCTCACCTGAATTACCATTACTTCCTCCATCAGTTCCATCATTTGAACCGTCTTCCGACTTTATGCCTTCAGCTGCTTTGTCATTTTCTGTAGTTGAGGACCCCAAGCTATCCTCAGTCTCATTCGATGATTTTGACAGCTGCTCAGGCAATATTGATTGGATACTATTACCAGTTTTTGATACTTCACTGATGTTCATATCTGAATCCTCAACTTTTGTGGAAGACGTTAAATTTGAATCAACCTTATCCTCAGTGGAATTTACACTAGAGTTGCTGGCCAGACCAAGAGCAACCGTTTGCAAGCCAGAGCCATCATCTGAACTCGTAACCCCTGTTGTCACATTCTCTGTTTGGCTCAATTCAGACCCTTTCTCTGTCGAATTGCTTATTAACACACTTTCAGTAACAGAGCTGGCTTCTGTCACATTATTAGCCAACTTTAGATGATCATCTGAACCATCCCCTGAATTGGTTCCAACGTCTCTAATGTCTTTATTCTCTATTGTTCTTGACGGATCACTTTCTGCAGTCAGTTTCTGGTCTTCGCCAGTAGAACTAGTGGTTTGCTCGTTTGTTTGATCAACAGCATGCTCATTTCCAACAATGTCCGTTCCAGCATGGTCTTTGGACTCTTTCATGTCTCTGTTCTCTTTTTCAGCACCCACAACTTCAGATTCATGCGTGACTGCACTAGAAGCATCATCCGCCTTGTAATGTTCTTCTCTTGCCTCATGTGCTTGTTCATCATCATCGTGCTCTTCACCAGCACTCTCATTCTCCACCTGATTGCCATCGTTATCTTCAGGATCTTTTTCTTCATTTTCCTTATCTTCCTCAATGACATCCTCTTCATGATCAGCCTCTACATCAGATTTATCTTCTTCGTGTTCCTCTATTTCTTCATCACCAACACCTTCTTTTTCATCACCTTTCTCCTCAGACTTCTTCTCTTCAGCATTTTCTTCTTCAGGCTTAATTTCTTCGTCTTCTCCAGCATTTTCTTCTGCTTCTTCATCTTCACTTCTTGCACTAGTAGTTGTGTCTTCCACTCTCGGATTAAGATCTTTTCTGCCAAGTTTCACAATCTCACTGCTACCCTGTGTCCGCTGAGATATCTTTACATCAACCTCATCAAATTCCTTCTTTTTATCATGTGAATGCTTGACTTGGTATAGTAACCAAAAGCAAATGACAAGCAGGAAACAGATTTGTAGAACATGTTTAACTTTGATTCCTTTAGATCTCTGAGCTCTGCTAGGTGATTGTCTGTACATGGCTGAATTTCAGAATAATTCCTTCGGTGCTCCAATCGTGTTCCTGACCCTGAAGACTAGAACAAGTTGAAAAGGCATCCGTCACTAGGCCAGCATAGGTTACACATAAACAAGTAGATAGATCTAAAGAGCTGTATAGATCATTTAAAATAACTGTGCTAATAACTTCTCCAAGCAAGAGCGGTTTTCGAATCCCCCACATTCATGACTAGAAGCTCCAACTATCTACTATTCTACAAACTTTTATTGCATGGCCAGACCACTATGAGACTAAGCCAGAGTAGGAAAGTTGGAGCCAGTAATTTGGTACAGTGGCAAAGCAAAATTTTTTATGTTCTTCAATTACCAAAAATAGATGGAATTAAATGACTGAAACTTCAAGGAATCTAAGAAGCCTTAAATGGTGAGACAGGTTTAGGGACATCAACCAATTGTCTTTAACTGGGAGGGAAACTTGTCAGAGGCAGTCAAGTAGATCACTCAATTGACTAGGCAGTCAAGTTGATCAAACAGTTATCTACGCAATCAAGTAAGTCCCAAAGTAATGCTGTTACTAATCACAGCAGAATCGATAAACAGATCAATCTGCTTTCAGCAAAACAAGTTATTCTGTACACCCAAATGCACATCTTGTCGCCACATAAAAAAGGAATAATAATTTTTTTCCCCAGAAGGCCAAAGCATCAGCAGGAAAGCCGGTAGCAGTTAAAGTACAGAATAAGGGAAGAAATCCTAATCATGGAGCAAATAGAAACCCTAGGACGAAGTCCACTTGAGCATTTGAACTTGCAATGATTCGAAACTGAACAAGCACCAAGATTGAATCTTTACGCCCAGCAAGAAAAACCCACTTCCAAAAACAGATACTTAACTAACAATTAGCACATTCAGATCGATAAAGCAAGTCAGAATCTCATCATCCTAGCAAATCTCACCACTGCAACCTCAGTATCTAAGAGCAAAAACACAAACACAAGGAAATCCCAACCTAAAACCCTCAGTTAATAAACATGAAATTCCGTCGAATTAGTTAAAAAAAACAGCAACAATCAACTCAAACAAACCCAACAATACAAAGAGGCGGAAGCACAAAAATACCTGGTAAATGGATAACCCACAGACCAAGTGATTCGTTACAATGGAAATCCAATCCACCGAGAATAAAATACAACAATAAATCTGATATATATAAGTTAGTTTAATGCTAGTCAAATGATGTGTTTGAATGAGTAAGAGTGAAAATACAACAGTGAGTAAGAGATTATCAGAGTGTTAATGAAGGTTGCAGGGATATCACAGAAAGAAAAGAGGGAGGGGGGGGCCTTCTCGTGTGTTTTTTGGTTTGAAAACTCTCTAATAAATCTCTCTATTACCGTTTTATCGGTGGATCTAATACTTACCACCAACCTTTTGACGTTATTGTGCACAACTGTTTCGGCGTTGTGGACTCACGTAGACGAAATTAACAATGTCTGATTTTGGGCCTTTTAGCTTGATCTGACATCTCTCTTATTTTGTCAAGTTTAAGCCTTTCGGTAATCAACCAGTGGTGACTTGTGACTAAAAAACAAGTATGTTATTATTTCAGGAAAGAAATTTGTCTAATTCAATCTGAATTAGTCAAGTGCAATTAATTCAAACATAATTACGTAATATATTGATACCCAAAAAAAAAAGAAAAAAGTGGTGACTTGTGGCAATGGCTTTTTTTTTTATTGATTATCTTGTTTCTTTTTTTTTTTTATAATGACAATGGCCTTTGTTTATTGAGAAAATATGGCGCTATAGATCATGTTGGTATATGTTACAACTGGTAAACATGTTCTATGTTTCTTACATTGCTGATGGATAGGACTGTGATCTAACATAATGAACTAAGAGTGACAATTCTGGCGTATGATTAGATACTAAAATATACTCTTCTTATCCTCCTATAATCATTGTTCACTTTTGCATTTTTTTTATTAGTACAATGAAAAGGAGCATCATTTTAGAATAGAGGATATATATATATATATATATATATATATATATATTCATAGACTTAATGATTTACAGAATTGTGGTTATAGATCACATTCGTACACTAGATGATACGCTAATTTGGAAATAATTGTAATGAAATGAAATTATATCATTTGATTGATTAAGACAACATCACAAACAAAAAAAAAAAGGAAGAAGAAGAAGTATACTAATTTTATCAAAGATGATCATTTTATTAATTTAGATCGTGACAACAAGGACGTTCCTCTCACTACATCCAAGTGCTGTTTGATTATTGTCATGCATCCTAAACAAGAACGCCATGTCACTTCCAAATTGTTCGTTCTATTAATTTTAGTTGTTCACTAATTTACCCCACGTACATCCCGAAATAAGTGCCCGAAATTGACATACACATTGACATTTTTGGTTGCATCTACGGCTTCAATCGCACATATATAATGCTTCAAGTTTGAAGGTCATAAATGGTCCGTTTTGCTGTTAATATTTGCCATGGCTTAATGTAACATCGATAAAATGCATTACATATTCATTAGTCATTACCAGATATTTATGTGAGTTTTATAATTGAACAAGTTTTGTATCATTAAAAATATCCATCTGTCCCAAAATTAAATTTTATTTTGAATTTTAAGTTTTAGTTTAGATTGTATTAAAGTGAAAATCTAAACTAGACAAATTTTGGGCTAACGGGAATATTTGAAATGTTATAATAATGCATTGCATTGGCATAGCCTATATATACATTCATTTGCTGTTCGAGTTAGTTTATCTAAAAGTAAATAGGTCAAATTGGTTGTGACATTTTCCAAAGAGAGAAGGTTTTTTTTTTTTTCACTTAAGTACACCTATTCTATTAAACAGTAAAAGCCTGTGAAAAGATAACTTGAGAATTTTGTTACAATTTGATAACAGAATACTAATCAAACCGTATAGACTAGTAAAATGGATGGGACGCAAGTTTTTTGCTCTTTCATCATCTTAGTTTGTGAGCCTGGTTATGTTAGAATGGACTGATCACAGTGCTGGCTTTCTTTTCCCAGTATGTCTCTTGGAGGATAAATGGACCGGTAGTTGCTATCCAGCCCACCTGTGGCTGTAAATGGACGATTCGAATGTTGTGGGCTATCCATAGGCCACTTTATGGATCTAGACTTCAGTCTAAAATTTGACTACCCAAATTCACATCGCGATATCAAATTCATGATTTAAATTTGTAGGGAAGTAGTAAAGCAATTCATTGTAGAAAGTGGTAATTTGATTTTAAACTAAAATATCCAAATGGTCCCTTACATTTGGGCCTACTTGAATTTACGTCCTTTACATTAATATTTCAATATCATAGTCCCAAATAAATTTACGTCCTTTACATTACATTACGTCCTTTATTAAATTTTAATAAAAATTTAAATCATTAAAAATATTTTAAAATTCAGATTTTATTATTTAATTGTTAAAATATTATTTATTAATTAAAAATATTATTATAAAATTTTAAAATTTACATTATTTTCAAAATTAATTTTTTCATTTATCATTTATCATAGGTCAAAGTAAATAGTAATTATGTTACACTTTTAACCTTGGACCTACTGTAACTTAAAAAATTTACTGAGTTACAGTAAATAATTCAAAATTCAATTTCTTAAAAAAAAAAAAAAGCCAAACCATTTTTTTTTACTCTGACCGTTATAGTAAACCCTAAATGGTAATTATGTTGCACTTTTAACCTTAGACCCATTATAACTTAAAAAATTTACCGAATTACAGTAAAGAATTCAAAATTCATTTAAAAAAAAAAAAGAAAAAAGCAAAACCAAGATTTTTTTTTTATTTTGACTACTACAGTAATTTTGAATTATTTACTATAACTCGGTAAATTTTTTAAGTTACATTGGATCCTAGGTTAAAAGTGCAACATAAGGGTTTACTGTAGCGGTCAATTACTTTGTTTTGTTTTTTCCTTTTTTTAAAAAAAAATTAAATTTTGAATTATTTACTGTAACTGGATCAATTTTTTAAGTTATTGTAGGTCCAACGTTAAAAGAACAACGTAGCAGTCACAGTAAAAACAATCTTGGTTTTTCCTTTTTTTTTGGAAAAAAAATTAAATTTTGAATTATTTAATGTAACTCGATAAATTTTTTAAGTTACAGGGGGTCCAAGGTTAAAAGTGCAATATAATTACCATTTAAGGTTTACTATAGCGGTCAGAGTAAAAAAAATCGTGGTTTTGCCTTTTCTTTTTTTTTAAAAAAAATTGAATTTTGAATTATTTACTGTAATTCGGTAAATTTTTTAAGTCACGATGAGTCCAAAGTTGAAAGTGTATTATAATTATCATTTAGGGTTTACTGTAGCGGTCAAAGTAAAAAAAATCTTGGTTTTGTTTTTTCTTTTTTTTAAAAAAAAAATTTGAATTATTTACTGTAACTTGGTATATTTTTAAAGTTGCAGTAGGTACAAGGTTAAAAGTGTAACATAATTACCATTTAGTTTTGCTTTTTTTTTTTTTTTTTTAAAAATTGAATTTTGAATTATTTACTGTAACTTGGTTAATTTTTTAAGTTACAGTGGGTCCAAAGTTAAAAGTGCAACATAATTATTATTTACAAAAGTAATTTTGAAAATAATGATAAATTTTAAAATTGTGCAATAATATTTTTAATTAATAAATAATATTTTAACAATTAAATAATAAAATTTGAATTTTAAAATATTTTTAATAATTTAAATTTTAATAAAAATTTAAATTAAATTAAAAGACAAAAATACTCCTGATTCCGGCATGTCAACGGCCGGAAACAGTAAAATGGGACCAAAAAGTGTGAAAACATAATGTTTGGGACTACGATATTGAAGTGTTAATGTAAGGGACGTAAATTTAAGTAGGCCCAAATATAAGGGACCATTTAGACATTTTAGTCTTGATTTTATGTACTACTTTTTCTTTCTATTCAAATCGTCAGTTTTCCAACTGATCACCGAATGTTCTCATAGCAATGAGTTGTGTTCTTGAAATCTTCTGATCTTTGTTGTGTTTAAAATCATTAGAAGGCGAATTTTGAATTTTTACAAGTAATCAAATCAAATGAAATGGTAATTTATTACAAATAAAAGCAGTTTGTACCGAAAAGATAAAAATAAAAACAATGTTGAAAAGCCTGGGACTTTGGATTACCTCATTCACCTACCGGCGCACGCAGTGTGGCCACACAACTCAGTATAGAGATTAGATAGAGAAGAAGGGAAGGAACATTTAGGATTAATCAACGCTAGGATGTGTTTTCTTCAATGATCTTTCGTTTCGAGCTATCAAACCAAGTATCATTGTTTTCATTTTTTTTTTACTTTCGATTCTTACCAATTTTGCACTACAACAAAAATGGGCTATTAATACTTTCATAGTGGGACACTTTTTCTAAAATGTGTCTCATTATATGTGTATTAGGACATTTGCTAAAAAGTGTCTTATTAAAAATGAAAAAGTGTATGCATATTATGAAATACTATCATAAGTGTACTATGTGGGGTTATTTGTGAACTATTACCCTACTTAATGGGTCACTTTAAAGTGTCTTAATAAGTGACAATCTAATAATACACTTTCAAATGTTTTATGACTTATTGTGACTCGATTATAGGAGACACTATTTAGTAGTGTCCCACGCAATATGAATCACATGTGTCTTATTAGACCACTTATTGAGACACAAAAAAGTGTCTAAACTACTCATTTTTGTTGTAATGTTGGATTCATAACAGATGTTTTTTTGGCACATCAGACACTTGAGCAAGAAGCGCGAGCATAGATTCTTTTCTAGTTTGTCACTACAATTAAGTTAAAAGTATGCCGTGATTGATTTGACTAGACCAAAAATGAAATGAAGGACTAAATATAACTACATGTTTTTTTTTTGAGTGAACCTCAAAATAAGTCATCAATCTTTAATATATTTTCACTCTAGGTCATCAATTAAATTTATTTGTAGCACAGGTTACCTTACTAAAGTTTTAATCAATTTCAGATTATTCTGTTAATTTTGGCCGTTAAATAGTGACGGAAATCCATTTTTCACATGCTTTTGGGTTCAGGGGTATTTTTGTCATTTTATTATTATTATTTTATTTTTTTAATCTTTTTAATTTTTTATTATTTTTACAATTCTTCTTCTTATATTTCTTAACTTGTATACACTGGTAGTATAATTTTAAATTTTAAAACTTTATTTTTCTTTTGTATTTTAACTTTAGATTATAAAAAAAATTTTAAAAAAATTCAGAAATGAAGAAGAAAAATTTGAGTTAAATTAAACATGAAAATAAATAATTTACCATTTTTTTAAAAAATAAAAATTAAAATAATTAGCTAAGACAAGTTGTTTTTTTCTAGATTATTTAATTTGTTTCAACTTGATTGAATTATTTAATTATTAATTTTCACGTTTCTTATTTCTTTTTTTAATAATCTACAAGTTAATATACAAATAACAAATTAATTTTCAAAAACGAATTTGTTTGTCATTTATATCTTAACTTCTAGATTATAAAAAAAAAAGAATAAGAAACGTGAAAATTAAATATTAAATAATTCAATCAAGTTGAACAAAATTAAATAACCTAGAAGAAACAACTTGTCTTAGCTAATTCTTTTAGTTTTTCATTTTGTTTAAAATGGTAAATTATTAATTTTCATATTTACTTTAACTTGAATTTTTCTTCTTCATTTCTTATTTTTTTTTTTTTAAAAATTATAATCTAAAAGTTAAAATACAAAAGAAAAATAAAGTTTTAAAATTTAAAATTATACTACCAGTGTATACAAGTTAGGAAGTATACGAAGAAGAATTGTAAAAAAAAAAATTAAAAAGATTAAAAAAATAAAATAATAATAATAAAATGACAAAAATACCCCTGAACCCAAAAGCATGTGAAAAATGGATTTCCGTCACTATTTAACGGCCAAAATTAACAGAATAATCTGAAATGGATTAAAACTTTAGTAAGGTAACATGTGCTACAAATAAATTTAATTGATGACCTAGAGTAAAAATATATTAAAGATTGATGACTTGTTTTGAGGTTCACTCTTTTTTTTTTTTTTTGACCAATTTACAACTAGTTTGAAGATTCAGGACTAAAGCAAATCATGCCTCTAAAAGCCGCAGGGTATCTCTCAATATCTGGATTATTGACCCAATTAATTACTCTTCTGTCCCATAATTCTTGTCCAGTTTGAGTTTTCATTTTTAGTTCGATTGAACTAAAAATGAAAACTCAAACTGGACAAGAATTATGGGACAGAGGGAATATAAAGAAATTAAAAAAAGGGGGAGAACTTGGTCGAACTAAAAATGAAAACTCAAACTGGACAAGAATTATGGGACAGAGGGAATATAAAGAAATTAAAAAAAGGGGGAGAACTTGGTTATATTCGTGTCTGTCTAACTGTATTTTGGCTTTCCATAGCTTTCCGACATCGTGCTGTTGGCGAGTTAAAAAGCCTAAGAGATGGTGTCCAAATAAAGCTACGAATATATCTATAAATAGTCCATGTACATACGTAACTAAAGTGAACAAATTAAACTGAATACTTAGGCTCCAGTTTGTTTTTAATTTCTTTTTCCTAATTCCCACCAACAGTTAACTTATATTCTCTTTATCCTACTTTAACCGTCCATTTTATTAAATTAAAATAGTAAATCTAAATGAATTATTAAAACCGGAATTAAAAAAATAAAATAAAATTAATCATGATATCTCTAGCTGAAGTAATAATCATTATATGCATATAATTGCATTAATCCGTTGGCACCAACATTAGTTAATTAACATGATCAGCCAGCCATATAATACCAGTATGAAAGACCAAAGATAGCTTGATTTTCCTTTACTTCCCGGTAAAGAAAAATGCTTGCTTAAGCTAAACACAACTTCATTGTTTTTGAAAGTTCTCATGCAGCAATACCTATTTAAACCTTCACAATATCAACATTCTTCAAATTAGAAATATTCTTCCTCTTTTTTCTTTTCATTTTCTGAACAAATTAAACGGATCAAAAACGAAAAATGAAGTTCTCTTGTGGGTTCATTCTCTTGATCATAGGCATTATCTCGATAGGATTGATCCAAACCTCCTTAGCTTCTGTGGTTTCATCTGGCGATTTCAACAAAGATTTCTTCGTGACATGGTCTCCTAGCCACGTGAATACTTCTTCCGATGGCCGAGGAAGAACCCTAAAACTCGATCAAGAATCAGGTAATAATTCAACTATACATTCCTTCTTCAATTAATTAAACCTTTTTTTTTTCCTTCTTCAAAACGTTTCTTCGCTAGCTAATTCCTTCTTAATTTGTTACATATGAATAAAATTTGATTAAATAGGCTCGGGTTTTGCTTCAAACGACATGTATTTGTTTGGTCAATTCGACATGCAGATAAAATTGATCCCGGGAAACTCCGCGGGAACTGTTGTAGCCTTCTATGTAAGGATTAAGTTGAATCTTCATCTTATTATTTTTATTCCAGTTTCTGACATGTAATTGATGAATTTATACATTTAATGCAGCTTAGTTCTAATCAACCAAACCGGGATGAGCTAGACTTTGAATTCCTTGGAAATGAGGAAGGGAAGCCATACATACTTCAAACGAATGTATATGCTGATGGCTTTGATGATAGAGAGCAAAGGATTAAGCTGTGGTTTGATCCAACAAAAGACTTCCACACTTATTCCATTTTGTGGAATATTCACCAAATTGTGTAAGGATTTCCTCTATCTTGATTTAGTCGTCCACCCTGCCTCAAAAGATAAAAGAACTAGTGTAAATTTGTCTTCTATTTTTAACCACATTTTCTTGTTCAAAAGGGAAAAGTCCTATAAATTCGTCTGTATTTTAACTTCACCATATTTTAAAACATATTAACAAAATAGAGGGGACACTGAGATCACCTATATCATTTATGCTACTTGATGAAATGCTTAAAATTTTTAATCGTTGTTTTTTTCTTAAAAAAATAAAATAAAACCCTAACTTTCGAGTTTGAGACTGCGAAAAGCAAAGAATAACTTCGGATCACTCCTTGAAAGTTGACGCCCCATTTCTCTTTTGAGGTGACCTTGTTGTGGATGCAACTCAATTTGCCAAAGCATACTTTTGCTTGGATCTAATTAACTCGTAGTGCCAACTACTTGGATATGCATAAATAAGGGAATATTATGAACTGCTCTCTCAGCCTCATTTTAATAGTTCAAATTGGAATGCAGAATGTTAACTAAGCACTTAATCTTAGTTATCCGGAAAACACTAGTTATAAAAATGTTTTTTTTTTCATCTATCAAAAATTTAACAAATAGAAATGTTTTTTTTTTCATCTATCAAAAATTTAACAAATCCCATCAGTCCTATGAATTTTCAAAGCACAACTTGAAAATATAGTGAATTATTATGATTTTTTGTTTCCGTATTGCATGGTGTTTATGTCGATTAAATTATTAATTATTATTATTATTATGCATTTACTATATGTAGATTCATGGTGGATTGGGTTCCCATCCGGACATATAGAAATCACGCAGACAAAGGAGTGGCATACCCAGCATGGCAACCAATGGCCGTGCAAGTAAGTTTATGGGATGGTAGTAGCTGGGCCACAAATGGAGGAAAGACCAAGATTGACTGGTCCAAAGGCCCATTCACAGCCTCATTCCAGAACCACAAGATTGATGCTTGCATTTGGAAAGGGGAGGCAAGAATTTGTAGGGCTGATAGCTCAACTAATTGGTGGAACAATAACTACTCCAGCTCTTTGACTTGGGCTCAAAGAAGGTTATTTAGATGGGTTAGGAAGTACCATCTCGTCTATGATTATTGTCAAGATGGTCCCAGATTTCAGAATAATTTACCCAAAGAATGCTATCTTCCCATATATTGATATAACCCCCAAGTAATAAACGAAAATATTTTTCTGTTACATATTTGGAGATGTTATGAATAGTGTGAATGACAAAATTTTACTTGAAATATGAGCATACATCAAATAAGGGAAACTATCCATGTATAGTATTTTGATTTGATAACTACTACTTATTAAATTGCCACTAGATGATGGCGAGGTATACATAGTAGTAAAATTTGCGCAAAAAAAATAAATAAATAAATAAATTACATGAATAAATCCTTTGCTCCCTATACTTCTTCCCATATTTTCCTTTCAAAACAATTAATCACTTTCTCTCTCTCCTCCTAAGCTTTATAATTATTTCATATGAGCTATTATATTAAAATCTCTAGTAGAGAAGTTATATAATTAAATACATCATCTCCTAAATAAATAATTTACTAGAACCTTTACTTGGAACATTGTACTGGACATTAATTTTCGAAGATGAGATTATTATTTGTTGTTAGCTGATTATTTCAATGGATGCATTCTTTATCTTTATTTTCTACAGCAATAAAGAAAACCATTATTTAGCTAAATTCTGTAATGATTTGGTATAGTTATTACTTATATATAGAACTATATTGTTATATATTCTCGAAGTACGCTATTTTGATGATTTCTTGTTCAAATCATGATCTAATATTATGTTAGTAAAATAATCAATAACCGCAGATGTCGTAAGAAAGAATTATGGTCTAAAGAGAGACCTAACATTCAAGAAAGTGCGGCGTCATTTTTCATTAAAATTGGAGGGATCTTATTTAGGCAACAACCCGCTAAAGGAAAAATAAAATAAAGTTTTTGATTGTTGCCAGAATAATAAAGATTTGCCAAGGCACGCGCATATGTAAATCACCGTTGTAATTCGTAAGCAATATCCCAAAGTCACCGGAGCTTTCTCCTTGGTCTCGGACATAAAGAAATGCGGCTGTCGGATGTAATATACTGGCCGGAATAATATATATTTAACTGGTTGATCTGTTGGCCTCTTGGTGCTTACCGAGATTATATTGATATTTCCTCTGATTAATAAACCCGTTAATTTTTTACCCAAAAAAAAAAAAAAAACTTGTTAATTCTTTACTTCTCGACAACAATATCAACGTGTCTGCGCGAGATAACTCATAGACCATTTTTTTTTTAAATTTTTTTTCTTCCATCTCGTATTAATATTGTGTTCATTATTCAGTCTCATTTTAAAAGTTTAATTTGTTGTATCATTTTAAATAAACAAAGTATATTAATAAGATAAGAACCAAAGGCAAGGTTTGGTCAGAAGAATGTACACTTGTCAACTCGTTACTCTTCATTTTTTAACACCCAATAAAACTAATCGAATGTAGATGCGTGAAACGTTTAAGCACACTCAACAAATTTAATAAGGTCGTCCATAAACTTTTATTCAAAACACATCATGGTTACTTTCACGAGAAAAAAATACAACAACAACAGGCCCAATATATTTCTAATATGGTTAGGGTCTGGGGGTTAAAATATACATAACCTTACCCCTATATTTCAAACGGAAAACACTTTTAATTTATTTAGCCTCGTACACGTAACTTGTTTTTAACCAGGTTTGATCCGGGAAAAAACAATCCGATCAAGGCATTAGAATATCACAATTATTTAACCATGCAGAGAAGTAAAATTTTAAAAGCCTCTAGTATGGCTTCTGGCCAATGTAATTACCAGGAGGATCATAGCTGCAAATAACGTAAGACCAGCCATTAGCACAGTGAACCCTACCACAACCAAGACGAACGGAATTCCGCCACACAACCTGAGTGTAGTGCCCGCAAACCTTACCGGCGGCGCAGGTGTTGGTGGCGTAGTCGTAGTTGCTCTTCTCCGCCACCCACAGGTTGACTGCCCCGACTCCGGTCAAGTCCGGGTATCCGGCAGCTAGGTTTTCGCCGTAGGGTCCTCCGGAGTGGACGAGATTATTGCACGTGTTAGCCGACTGGACGGCGTTAGCATAGTTCTGAGCATAGGTTGCTAAGGTTTGGTTCCAGGTAATGGCGCCAACTCCGACTTGGGATCGGGCTGTATTGTGAGCATCTACGTAGTCTTGTGGTAAGTTTTGAGCTGAGGAGGAATTGATCAAGGCAAAGGTGGTGACACAAACAAAAACAAGGGCCGAATGAAACTTAAAAATTCCCATTTTTTTCCTGAACTCTTTCTAATAGTAGTGATGGATGAGATTGGTTTGTTATTTTTGGTCTGTTGGAGGTGTCAATTTATAGAGAAAATTTGGTTGACATTTCAAATGTGGATATCACGGCAGTATCACGATAAGTTTCGTGCGCGTAACTTAAGAATAATTTGGCCCAAACCAAAAAAAATCTAAAAGTTGAATTTCATATGGTCCCAAAAAAATTTATAATAAAAAGATTATAAAGTAAAGGATCTATGATGGAACTTGCATTGACTCATTGGATATTAGGACTGAAGTGAAGCCACACAAAGAGGCACGTACTAATAAATTTTAAAAAGGATAACATTCTAATATTAATTGACCTTAAGAAGTTTACTTTTACTCGAGGGTTTGAGTTGTTAGCTTTAATATATTAAAACTATGACTGAAATGTAAATAGGACATCAACAAGTTTTACATTGACATTGGGGGAGTAGTTCGAGTGAAATTTGCAAAGGCATGTGCATTTATGAGAAAGGTTGCATGCATTTCGCCGGTGCAATCTGGAAGCAATGCCAAAGTCACCGGAGCTTTCCCCCTGGACATAAAGCAAAGCGGCTGGTGCAAGACACATGGCCGGAAAAAAAGAATCTTTATATATATAAATAGCATAATAAACCAGCCACTTTCTAGTTTCTAATCTTCTTAGTTGCCAAAAACACTTGCAGTCATTGAGGCTTTCTCGTTACCGAAAGGAGTTAATTCGTGCTGCTTAAGTCAAGGATTGGATAGAATATTTTCATCTCGATTTAGTCGAGAATTAATGAACAGTTAACAAGTTCTATGCACGTTAATTAAATAATAAGGTTTGCGTAAAAAGTAGCGAAGCTACAAATTAAAATACCATTGGTTTTATTGAGGACACAATGGAAGGTTAATTTGAAGCATGTTTAGCGAGAAGCGAATTTTGCGGTATACTGCTTAGCAGATATTGTCTCCCGTAATTCCGGGGGTTTACTATTCTTGTCGATTCCACTATTTAAAGTCATACAATGGTTAGAGTATAATATGATTGGATTTCCTATCATCGAAATGTTTTAAATTTCTGTCACTAGGCCTTGGCCTCTTTCATTTAAAAAAATACCATTGTTTGATTGAGTGATTGTGCCTTAATCAAGTTTGGAAAATATACATATAAACGAAACCGAGCGCGGTTTCGTTCCATTTTTGTGGTTTGTCACCGAAGTTAATTATTCACTCAGTTTCAAAATGGTTATTATCATTAGTGGCGGAGGTAAGAGGACCAGCTAGGGCGGTGCCCTCAATCCAAATTTTTCCAAAGATGCCTTTAAAAATTTAGTATAAATTTTTATATTTTTATATTTTCACCTCTGCTAAATAGAATTTGTACATTTTTGCCCCTCCATTTTGTAAATTCTGGCTCCGCCACTGATTATCATACCTGTTATATACTCTCTCTGATTCAAAAAATCATTGAATTTTGAAATTTATATGATAATATAAAACTCAACTTTGTAGTCTATCTTTTTTTTGATAGGGTGAGAATATAATAAATTAATAAATATGACTACGAACTTTTTTTATTGTATTACAACAAACATGATAACATTTAAGAAGTTATTAGAAATAATCACCCAGAGGACAATAATTTTAATTATTCCTCTCATAATTAGAGTCATTCAATTAATTTACTTTTTAACACTTCGGACATTTATTAGATTACCAAAAATGTTGAAAAGCAAAGTAGGCATAAAATTATAGGAAAAAAGAATTAAACTAATTCAATAAAATTGAGAGAATATCTGCAAAGTACCGCTCTGAATGTTCAACATATTAAACACACAATTAGGAAATGTGATTTATTTAATTTATTTTTTTATCAAAAAGGAAATGGTAGAAACAATATATATATATACACACACACATACATATATATATATATATATATATATCCTCCAATTAGCCTCCAATTAATGACTCAGATAAAAAAATAAATCTTATTATTGAATTTTGGATTGAAGGTTGATGATACTTTACCAAGGGCAAAGAAATCATTGGCAACTAAACCCCCTAATCGTCAATGATAATGAAAATGGTTAAAAATATGATTCAAATGTTACAACTCTATAAATTGACATCCTCCTAGAAATGTCAAGGATTAGGATATCAACTGAAGATTTGATTTACAAAATCAAATCTTATTATTGTAACTTATTATCTTATCTTAGATATTATATGTATCCTAACTACAACCTACTTTGATGTAACCTCATGTATAAATGTACTACTCTATACTCAATGAACGTGCACTATTCAGAATCTTCAATCTTCTATATGGTAAAATTCATATTTCTCTATATGGTATACAGAGCCCAAAACATCTCCTCCGAGTTCATTCGATCCTCCTTTTCTTCATTTTTCTTTTCTCTCTAGTCATGACTATTACTTCATCAACATCTTCTATTGTGCAATTGAATGAACCAACTCATTTTCCTGAACTATGGAGGTCATAACTTTTGGTCACCTTTAATTTTTTACTGACAAAATTAGTCACTATCTTTTCGTTTATTCAACAGTTTTAGTCAATTCAACAATCCATTAAACTTTTAAATATTCTGTTAAAGTGACTAAAATTATTGAAAAAAAGATATTTGGGGACTGATTTTGTTGTTTAAAAATACATTGCGGCTCAGTTCAGTAAAAATTAATAAAAAATAAAAAAACTTAACGGAAAAAAGAGTTAACCGTTAAATTGACTAAAACTGTTAAATAAACAAAAAGTGGTGACTAATTTTGTCAGTAAAAAATTAATGGTGACCAAAAGTTGTGACCCCCTATAGTTCAGGGACCAAAAGTATCTTCTTAATAACTCCATTCAATAGAAAAATAGAAAGTCTCTAATTACCTCGCTAAAATCACATATACTCGGCACAACTTGAAATTCAGTGTTTGATGCATTATACTTAATGGTAGAAATTTGTAGTTAAACGGTCCAAATTAACGTGATACCAATTTGATTAATTACCTCGCTAAAA